TGACAGACTTTGAAGGTCCCTGGTGGATGGCCTCAATATCCCTGGGGAGGAGTTGGGAGATGGGTTGGGTGAGTTGGTGAGGAACAAGGGAGGATTGGAGGGTGAGGGAATGGGGGGACACATATGTAAATATGAGTAGTAATTAAAGAATTTAAATAAAGTCTGGGCTACTCCCACCACCACTCAGGGCAGAAGTGAGCTTCTTTGGCCCCTACCTTGGAGCCAACTTCTGCCTGTCCACTCTGGGATCTGCTGTCCTGGGGTCTGCAGACAGATCCACTTGGCCTCTGATGACAAAGTGACCCTGAGTCTGCTGAAATTACTGGGCTACTCCCGCCCCCAGGAAGGGCAGAGGTGAGCTGCTTCTGCCAAAGACTTCGGCCCAACGTCGCATGCCCACTCTAGGAACTCCCCTCCTGGGTTGTGCAGGCAGATCGACTTGGCCGCTGAGGACCATGAAACCCTAGACTGCTGACATCTCTGTGCTAGTCTTGCTCTCACCCACCCGGAGAGTGAAAGTCCCTTAGAACGATGGCACCCCAATTCACTAACGAGAAGCAGGTTTGATGCAAAAAGCAAGAGGAGTTTTTATTCCAGGCGCACTGGGGCCCACAGTCATACACCAAGCACCGGTAGAGGACTGAGGACCTCGAGGGCAGAATTGAGACAGTTTTTATAGGGTTTTCAACAAAGCCAGTACATTTGAACCAATCATTCTGGAGTGTCAGAACAGTGTGGGCCAATCAACTTAGCCCATTTTGCATTTTCTAGGTTACTTTGCGTATTTACTAAAATTAAGTATGTAGCCTCAGCTTGTTGACTCATTTCCCATTATTTTGCTTGGCCAGAAAGCAAGGCTGTGGGAAGCAAGGCTGTGGGACAGTTGTTGTTTTGGGGTATTCATGACTTTTGGGTAAAAAATGACTTATAATAACTCTCAGAAACCAGACTGTTGTTGAGAATAACAACATTCCACAGGTGGTAATGAATAATAACAGTTTTCATATGTGTTTGTCTATGTTGCTGGGGGTGAAGATTTTTAAACTTCTAGCTTCTCGTGGTGTTTGTGGTCATAGGAGAATTTAGGATATATTTGTTGGTCTTTCAAGAGTAAGTGCCTGGATCCCACCTGCACCCACCTTGAGACCCATCGGAATATCAGAGCCAATTGCACCCACCGGAAGGAAACCTTGGACCCATACACACCAGGAAAGGAAGAGACACCACCTGCACAGCTCTCAGTGGTGGCAATAAATGTACCCCCACCATCTGGAAAGACAGTGGCTAAAACAGATGTGGCTTTAGTTTTAGCAATGTTGTTTAGGAGATAAAAGGCTGCCGGCCAGAAAATGATAAAAACATAGAGTAAAGACAGATTCAGATGGAAAAAGTAAAACCTCTAAATGTTTACAATGTGTTTAAAAGTATACATAGGATTGTGACAGAAAAGGGACAGTATAAAGTTTAGAAAGAAAGAAGGAAAGAAAATAAGGAAGTAAGGAGAGAAGAAAGGATGAAAGGAAGAAGGAAAGAAAGGAAGGAAGGAAGGAAGGAAGAAAAGAAGGGAGGAAGGAAAAAAGGAGATGCGGGGCAGTGGTGCCACATGCATTTAATCCCAGCATTCAGGAGTCAGAGGCAAAGAGATTTCTGTGCTTTCAAGGCCTGTCTCGTGTACAGAGTGAGTTCAAGGGCAGTCGAAGTTACATAGAGAAACCATGTCTATTAAAAGAAAAAATAAAAGCAAAAGAAACGGAGTTATAAAAATAAATAAATAAATAAGCCATGTTAGAATGGAAAATACACAGTCTGGATACTATATGTATTATTGTTGTCTTTAAATTGTTAGATTTCTGTGGAAAGAGCTACAGCAGCTAAAAGACATTTGATTATAGGTGCTGCTAAATTAATCCAACTTACATATTTTAAAAATGCTTTGACTTCTAACTTTAAAAACAAGGACAATTTACTTGGGAAAAGAGTTTTTTTCTTGTTTCCCCAGAAAATGATAAGCTTGTGGATTTCTTCAAGACTAATACGATTTGATGAAGCAAGACACCCTGAAACAATGTTCCAGGTGATCCAACATCTAAAACAGCTAAGATGAAACAGCCTTACAGACTACAAAACAAGGACCTGGCCAGGTTTCTGTGTTTTATCATGATTCCATGGTATATACATATCCCCCAACTAGCAAGAAGCAGTTTTCAATGAACAACAACCAAAATCCCAAATATTGTGTATAAATGTGTACTTTCATTTAAATGGGGTTGGGTATAAATGGTAATGATCAGTCAATCTCCTTTTAAAGGCAAAAGGTGAATAGGATATACAAATGAATATTTACATTGGTATGGATTTTCATTTATCGATACAAATTTAAAGTTACTTTTGTTATCTGAAAATTTCTTCTCTTGTTTGGATTTTGTGTTTATACTGATCTTTTAAAATGTAATGTATAATTAAATACAGATTATATAGTCAGGTATAATAGTCAAAACAGTTAAGTTAGGTATTCTAGATATAAAGAGATGGATTTGAGATGGATTCTTCAAAAATTTCAATGACCTAGGGAATACATGGCATTTTAAAGGTTTTAGGGTTTTTCATGGAAGTGAGACACAACTGCTCCTGGCAAGACCAATTATGTCAGAAAGGAGGATGGTCATTGAAGAAACTCAATATGGAGTTTGCTTTCCATGTGGCAATATTTGCCATTAGGGCAAGAAACTGCTCTTGCCTGGACTGTTTGTTTTTGTATAAACTGGACATGCAGGAGAAACAGGAAAGTGACTGCTAAACTTGCAAAACATGACAGTCCTGAAGGGTTCCTGTTTCATGAAGAAGTCTGCCAGAAACACTGTGGCCTATGTACTGAAGATTGATGCTCCAACATTATGGAGGAAATTTGAGTGATTGTCCAGGTATCGAGATGTCTCTGTCAGATCTAGAGTTTATATATTATCCTTCTGTTGTTTTTGGTGGAGTTGAAGACTCAACTATAACACTAGTTACTATAAAGATAAGCTACACATTAGACTTTAGATTCACAAAGGTAGGATAGATGTTTCAATACTTTCCTTAAACTCTTGCTAAATGTTAATGAAATAAATATTGTAACTATAATTCTTACTTGATAACTCTTTTGTTATATATTATACTATGTTAATGTTAAAATACTTCTTTTTATTTAGATAGAAATGAGGAGAGGATGGGGGAAGTTCTTCTGTGGAAATGTTTGTCTTATTGGTTGATAAATAAAGCATTGTTGGCCTATAGGAGAGCAAGTTAAGAAGGACTAGGAGAGAAGGAGGATTCTGGGAAATGTAGGAAAGGAATAGAGTCACCATATGATCCCGGCAACACAGGAAACAAGCCACAGTTGTCCTTGATAAAATAAGTCTTTATGAGAAATCACTTTTATCTGACTGGCCCACAAGGAAAATTATGAACATATTCTTTATTCATGTTTAATGTGTCAGAGCCTAGCCGACTACAATTCCAGTCAAACTTGTTCAGGTTATATTGAGTTATAGAAAACAGCAAGCTTAGGACTCATGGTTAGAAAGCTGGTGACCACCTTCCCTCAGTGGACTCAGTGTCATATCTTGACTGGAGTTGGAAAGTATAAGGTGAAATAAACCCTTTTCTCCAAAGTTGATTTTGGTCATATTACTTCACCCCATCAGTAATAGTTAGTGGCATGCGAGGAAACCTTCAGATGACCATTATCAGGCATGACATTCCATGAAATATGCAAGTGAGAATGTTAGACCCTGGAGTATGAAGATGATCCAGGTGGTATTGGCTCTGTGAGAACTAACCAAGGAAAGCAAGTATTGCAGCCTCAAGACTAGGTAAGACCTCAAAGGAAGAGCACTATAGTCAATCTTAAGAGAAACTCAACAGGCAGCACATGTGAGCAGTGAGCCTCTGCAAGCAGGTCTGGGAAACAGAAAGTCACCAGGAGTATTAGATTAATGCAGAACTCACTAGGAAATGTAAAAGCAGGTGCCATGGAGCTTCTTCTGTGAGTATAGGAATGGTAAAAGTGGGTGAGGTTTTGTGGAGCTGCTGAATTCCGCGTTTAACTTCATAGGTTTAGGTCTTTTTATGTCAACTCCTCCCTTGATTTGTCCCCTTTACTCTTTTTCCTGTCTGTACCCTATGTGTTAGAAATATGAGTTGATTTATAGATTCACTGAGTTCTCAGAGCTAAAAAACTGTGTAAGTCTCAGAAAAAAACTAGACTAGTGAACAATCTTGTGACTGTTAAGGACTATGGATAATTACAAACATGACACAAATTTAGTTTTTGCTAATTAAAAACCTCACTTCTATGGGAACAAAGTATTAGAATTAGTATGTGGATATGGTCAGTATTAATGATGTTTGTCATAAGAATGTGAATTTGAATGTTTTAATTTGAAACAAAAACACAAAAAGTAAATTCAGATAAGCTGTTATCTTATCTCCATACCACTTTAGATCAGAGCAAACTGGAAATGTCTGGCCATTTGCAAATTTCACAAACATAAAGGTTTGCCTAGTGTACAACATAGAATTCCTATCCCATGAAATAGCTCTCACTGTCTGCAAAGCCAAAACTATGAAGTCCAGCTCTGCCATCGATACAAAGACTTATCTCTTTACACAAAGAATGAGTTTTCTTTTGTGTGTTGAACTGTCAGCTTCCTTACAAAATTCTTTAACCAGGTATTGGTTTTAGTTTTTTGCAAAATACATTACACAAGTACTTTTGCCTGTTACTGCTGGTGAGAAATATCGGAATTCATGATCATGACATTCAGAGTTAGGATGTGAAAACATTTAAAGAAAGGAACACCTTAGACATGAAGAAGAAAAAGTAATTTAGACAGATCCAGTGAACCCTGTTGATGTTTTATTTAGAATGAGTTTATGACTACATGAGTTTTGTATATGAACTGAAAATTTCTTCAAGAAACCTTCTAACAGATTTTGCAAATGAAGGAGCTCTCACTTCAGGCCTCTTTATTGACCACTATGTAAGCACATTGGGCCTTCACCTGATTCTGTAGTTTCAAACAGCATACTTCAGAGAAAAACATGGTCATTCCAAAGAGTGACATGGTGCTTGTCAGGACCCCTAATGGGAAGATGGCTATAAAGTGTTTGCTTATCATGGCTTCCTTTTTAACAGGAAAGTCAGGCGGAAAGTCAAGAGTGGTTTGCCCATAAAGATCTACCATGTGGTTCCAGCTCACAGAAACAAATGTAAAGAGGCTGCTAACACACAAAACTAAGGCAGAGACCTTGTAGCAATATATCTGCATTTCAATAAATGGGTCTCTCATGAAGCTGATCATAATGGCCAATAATACACTGAACCCTAGAACTACAGGCTTCATCAACAGGGCCCATGTTATCAGATTCTGTGCATAATGAAATTCAGGTGAAATGATCCAGGTGGAATCGATAGGGGTATGCACCAGCATCTTGATTACAGTCCCTGAGACATTAAACTCTTGAGGGTAATGAGCTTCCCACAGTCCAAAGGAAACAAACTGCACAACAGCATTGACAAATTCCCACAGGCGCCAGTTTTGGCTGTTTGCAATAACTGTTTCAAATACCAAAGCTGATAGGATGCTAAGGAGACCAGTCAGATTGAAGATGCACTTCTTCCCATTGGCATATCTGAAGATGAGATTGAATAAATATATAGTCAATCCAGGAACACAAGGGAGGATGGGAAATCAGAATAAGTCATGGATTACAGAGCACACAATATTGTATTTAAGTAGTCTAGCTATGTATTAGTATAACTAACTGAGGGATACAGCCTCAGTCAGCACCATGGTATGCAAGAAAATCCACAAATGTGATTAGTGATAGACTTTTCTCTCTAAAGGACAAATAAGGAAACACAGGATTTCTGCGCTTTACTCTATTTTTCTTTTACTTCATCTTGAAAATCTATTCTCTGAAAATCTATCTTGCTTCTCTACATAACTCTACACAGTTTCCTAATTAGCTCTACACCCTTTCTCCTTGCTCACTCCAGGAGCTTCTTGCTAACTCTGCAAATTCTCCAATCTCTAGCTCTACATACTTCCTCCCACTTCCTTCTTCATAGCTCTACTCAGTCTCTCACTGATCCCAAAATCTGGACAATAATATGTCAGACATCAGGGCTCAGCAAATCCCTGCAACACGAGATTAGTCACATAGTTTCTCTTAGGCTAAGGATGTCACATTTATCAGCCAGTGAGTAACACTTGTCCAGGCACATAGACTAAATGGTTAAGATTCTCAGACAGAAATAAACAGTAGGCTGAATCTTGATCCTGTATCATATACTGAGCCAGGGATTACCTGCAAAAAGGCAATTACTGAATAAGGTTTTGTCTACCAACCTTTCTTCTAGCTTGACCTTGGATCAGCAATATACAACACCTGTAAAAACTATCACCAGTATTTGTCTCTAGGAGCAACCATATATTCATCTCCAGGGGCAGTCGGTTTGCTTCAAGTGTGTTCAGAATTCTAAATTAGCTGTCTTTGAGACTAGGAATCCTATTACTATCCTATGTCAGCCTGAATAATAGAAAACATTCTAGTGTTATTTCTCTTCATCAGATTTATACATTCCTGATAATCCATAGCTCTGTGTGTCCAGTTGATGGATACTTGCATGAGATAAACACACAAGCAGTGGAAAAACACCCATAGCAGTTGTTAGGGAAGAAACAAATTTCTTAGGGAAGAAATAAAGTGGCACATGAGACAAATTACAGACAGGAGCAACTGGTTTCCAAAGGCATTAATCCAATAGACATTGCCTAGTGGGGCTTCTCAACAGAGAGTCATTCATTGGGTTGGTCGACCTGCTGAATACTAGTTTTCAGCAAGCTGTATGCCCCCATGTGCCTCGGTACATGTGGGTTCACCATACTACAGATAATAGTGTAGGAAGCCCTAGACTCCATAACTGTAACAATAGTTTCCTATATAATTGGTTTTGTTTAGCAATTTTGCTGTATTCTTCAAATGTTACAATGTGTGAATTTGTTAACCAAGAACTTTAGTACTTGAAATTAATAGTGAAAAATAGTTTGCAACATGCTTACTTAAGTTGTGTGTGCAATGTGTAAATATAATAAATAGCTAAAATGAGAGTAATATTCAAAGAATGCTCACATATAATTTCTAAATTATGGTCTTTGACTACTACATGATTCTGCAAAGTAATGTCTGCTGAATGAAAAACGAAATTGAAAAATGATCCATATGTTAGAACCATTCATATATAAACTCCATATATGAATATTTTATAAGTGTGTGTATATACACATCCATATACAGATAAATACACACACACATACATGCACATATCTGTGAACACAAAAGATTCCCCTCAGAACAGTTGTCGGTAGATGAACCTAACAGTGTAGAGTCCTTTTTTATTTGTGCAATTTTCTGAGATATTTTGGTTATCTTGAATATGCTGTTTATGAGAATCATACATCAGTCTTGTTCCAATCTACTTCATATAATTTTTGTATGTAAAGCATCCTGACAATATGTGTGGACATTAATCTTTATTGCAAAACTGAGACTGCACTGTTATTTTGTGCAACAGCACATCTAATTCACATTTCATTTCAAATCTTTGGATTTGGTGTTCATGCACATGAGGAAGTATGCCCTGAAGGATCGCACTGAGTACTTAAGAAAGGAAGCAGGAAACGTTTTGTCACCTCCAACATGAGGCTCTCTGTCAAGGCAGATTTGAGGCAGTGGAGTAAAAGAACAGTGCCCTTTGAAGCACATCTGAAATTAGGGTGGAGAATGCTGTTGTGACAGACAAGTGAACTAGCCTGGGAGGATCTGGTTCTGCCCTTGTCTGAATCCCATGGAGTAGATACCAGTGTTTCAGAGAGATCCAATTAAAAACTATCTATGTAACTAATTTTTAGTTTTTACCTTCACATATCACGGGATCTGGGTAGATCTATTTGAAGATGCAAAAATCATAAATATCTTCCAAACTACAGGAACTGTTGACCAGACAGAGAATCACATTAAGAGGTTAATCATCTTTGGTAAAAGAAGTTGTATTACAAATATTTCAGCATACAGCTGTGTCTCTCCAAGCAACCCCTGGTCCACACAAACTTATTCTTCCTCTCCTCTTGTTTGCTTCATTGGAGCCTCATTTATACACTTCAGGGGTCTCAGTCCATCTAATATTTCCATCCTTCCAATGAGATCCACATGATTATTATCCCTATTTTATAGACAGAAGAGAAACACATGAGTCTAATTCACATGTTTATCTTCAGGAATCCACACAGGAATAAAGGTCAGTACAGGCATCAGAGCCCTCACAGACACTCAGAGATTCCCAGCACTTATAATATTCAGCAAGATTTACTCACAAGGAAATTGTGTCAAAGAATTGATTAATCATATGATAGTGACACACTTTGCCCTGTGAAAAAAATGAGATTAATAAAAAAAACTACATAGAAAAAATACTATACTTGCCACTGTCTCTTCTATGAAGTCCAAATGTTATTGACTGCCAAGTGTCAGAAAAGTGACTCTAAAAATTCTCCTGTTTCCATGGCCACAAGAGATGAATGGTAGATTATGACCAATGAGCCAGTGTCATGACATATAGCTTTAAAGGACCACAGTGGTTAAAGTCCTTCTCATATGACAAGATTTAAAGGAATAATTAGTTTATTTATTATATATGAAAAGATTCCTCATACAATATGATTGGTTCAGAATATAAAGTACAATTAGATTTTCACCTTTGCCATTTCTTTTTCTTTTTCTTGTTGTTTTTGTTTTTTGAGACAGGGTTTCTTTGTGTAGCTTTGGAGCCTATTCTGGCACTCACTCTGGAGACCAGGCTGGCCTTGAACTCACAGAGATCTGCCCGACTCTGCCTCCCAAGTGCTGGAATTAAAGGCATGCAACAACAATGCCCAGCTTCACCTTTGCCATTTCTATTGAAATCCTTCCCTACATGCATACTTACCCAACTGCATGGGTATTTGCTGATGACTCCTGCTCTGTGCAAAAATCTTAAAACTAACAGAAGTCCATGGACAAAAAAATGCACAAACAGAACAGTAATAAACCATCTCTCTAGAATGATAAAAACAAACAGATATTTCTTGTGTTGTCTAACTCTTCTTGACATGAGACTTGCCCTGAAACGTAGTTTATATCCTAGTGATACTACAATGAAAAAAGAAGTAACTTCCTTTTCCAAGCAGGTATCAATTTCAAACAGTTTCTTGGTTAGTTAAATTGCTTTGTGTCTTATCCCAAAGGATATGACATACTCTGAAGACCCCCTATGGACGTCCTCACCCTCTCTGTGGAACATAAAGTGTATGTGATAGTTAGAGTGTTAGTTGGGTGGGCAGAGGAGGAGGGGAGGGAGAGGGAATTGGAATTGACCTATAAAATAATCTTGTCTCTAATTCAAATAGAAAATTAAAAAAATGCTTTGGATCCAATGTGTTGTCATGGTGCTGGCATATTATCTGCTTAGCCTTGTGAAGGTCTTGTGTATGTGCTGTTGCAGTCTCTCTGACTTACATGTTATAACACTAATGCTGTGTCTGGAAACCCTGTTTCCTTTGACTCATCTACCACTTCTGACTCACACAATCTTTCAAATCTATGTCAATGTGATCCACCATATAAACAAACTGAAAAAAAACCCACATGATCATCTCATTAAATGATGAAAACTTCTTTGAAAAATCTAGCACTCCTTCACAAAAAGGTCTTAGATATTTCATGGATAAAAGGAACATATCTAAACATAATAAAGGCAATATACATCAAGACAAAAGCCAACATCTACTAAAAGGAGAGAATCTCAATGTGATTCCTCTAGAATCAGGCAAAAGACAATCTCCATATCTATTCAAAATTGTACTTGAGGTTCTAGCTAGAGCAATAAGACAACAAATGGAGATCAACGGGACACAAACTAGAAAGGAAGAAGTCAAATTTAACTATTTGCAGATTGTATGATAATTTATATAAGTGGCCCATAAAATTCTACCAGGGAACTCCTATACCTGACAAACACCTTCAGTGAAGTGTTAAGATACAAGATGAACTAAAAAAAATTCAGTAGGCAGAGAAAGGAATCAGAAAACATCACCCTTCACAAAGGCCACAAACAACATAAATATATCTTTGGGTAACTCTAACGAAATGAGTAAAAGAACTCTAGGACAAAAATTTTAAGTCTTTAAAGACATATATTATAGAAGAAATCAGAAAACTGGCAGATGGCTGGAAAGACAGCTCGAAGCGTCTGCATAGAGATCTTATAGGGCAGCATAAGGGGAGTGTCTAGGGGTACACACAGGCTCAGGATTGGTGTGCCTCCAGGCTCGGAAGGTTTGCCGTGTTGATTGGCCAACTGGTTGTATGGTCCATAGGCCCTCCCAGGGTGGTTGCTATGCTCTGCATATCATTGATGTGCACTTGTCCGTAAAGCACACCAAGAGAGGTGTGGGATGGGACTTAAGGATCTATATGTAGGCCCCTCATCCTGTCTGTTCTCTGCTTCCTGATGATATGACCAGCCACCTCATACTGCTGTCACTATAACTTTTCTTCCCTAGTGGACTGTATCCCCTTGATCTATCCATGAGTCAAATATAGG